CAAAAATAAATAAAAGTACTTAAAGACTACAGTACAAAGTTATTAGAAAAGTGTTGGGGCTGGAGCAATAGCACAGAGGTTCCCTGAGCACTGCCAGGGGTAATTCCTGAGTGCAGAGCCAGGAGTAACCCCTGTGCATCGCCAGGTGTGACCCAAAAAAGCAAAAAAAAAAAAAAAAAAAAAAAAAAAGTGTTAATCATAAAAATTAAAATACAAAAAAATGGGACCGGAGTGAGAGTACAATATATGGGGTGCTTGCCTTGCACCTGGCCAACCTGAGTTCAATCCCCAGCATTCTACGTGATACTCCATCATTGCTCGGAGGGAATCCTGAGTGTAGAGCCAGGAGTAACCCCCGAGCATCACTGGCTGTGACCCAAAAAAACAATAAATAAATAAACAAGTGAAAAAGAAACATAGCAAGGTAACAGACAAAAGACACAGCATCTACCCTGATGGGGAATCAGTGTCATCTATGTGCCTGTGCTGACTTTCTCCAAGGCCATCAAAATACCAATGACACCTTTTAAGAAAATAAAGTACTAATGCTTAATCATAAAAGTCTTGTGGGTAATGGCAAACCTAAGTAAGAACTAAAATATACAAAGACTTCAAGTTACCTGACTTCAAGTTAAACTACAAAGTGACCAATATGGTACTGGGATAAACACACACACACACAGACAGATAAACAGGAAAGACCAAAAATAAACTCACATCTTTATCAATATTTAATTTACAACAAAGGACTGGAAACTAAGACTATACAGTAAAGAAACAAGTTTCTCTTCAACAGTGGTGTTTGGAAAACAGGACAGACACTAGCAAAGAGTGATTCTGGACAAACCTTTATAATCACACACAAAAAATTAAAAATGGACTAATCACTCTCCATGTGCTAGGTGATAGACCTAGCTTGAGGGAAGTTATGTGACAGTACCTGCTATTTGTTTTATATGCCAAAATAATAAACTTCCGGAATCTTACTGTACTGACATTTCTTTGTGGTGGCTTGCTTTTTGCTGGGGGGCTGGGGAGTTGTCAACACCTGGCAGCGCTCAGGCCATACGGAGTAGTGGGGATCAAAGACAGCTGGCCGCGTACAAGGCAAGCACACTCCCTCCTGTACTGTATCTCTGGTTCCTGTATTGCTATTTCTTGATAAAAATATTTCCCAAAATAGCTGGAAATATTTGAAAGACACAATTCAATATTCCAAAGAGAAGGTATAATAATCTGGCACGGAAATGCAGCCCATTGGGGCTAGAGAGATAGTACAGCAGGCAAGGCATTTGCCTTACATGCAGCTGACCTGGTTCAACCCCTGGCCTAGCATCAATATGGTCCCGAGAGCCCACCACGAGCAAGTCCTGAGTGCAAAGCCAGGAGTAGCCCTGGACATCGCTGGGTGTGCTTCCCACTCAAAAAAAGAGGAAGAAAAATTACTGCAGCCAAAATGAAATCTAATTCTGTAACCTATCACACTGCCAAAATGTGAAATTTAACATTTTCATATCATACTCAAAGTATTTTTTATTTTAATGCTGTCAATTGCATTATATTTAAATGAATTTTTACTTCATTTGGCATTATGTGCTATAATAGATTTTGCTTTATTAAACCGCAATGTGAAAAAAAAAAACACCGCAATGTATTTTAGGGCTGGAGCTGATATTACAGTGAGTAGGGCACTTGCCTTGCACACAGCCAACAGGGTCCAACCCCTGGCCCCACATGGTCCCCTGAAACCACTAGGAGTAATTCCTGAGCAGAGAGGCAGGAGCAATCGCTGGTATGCCCCCACTACTGTCCAAAACACCCACACTGTATTTAAGGAGCATTAATGCATTAAAATATGCATCTTAAAAATTAAGGGATGTGCTGTCAACAGTTTTAATTTGTTGTGATAGTGAAAGCTCAAAAAATACTATGAAAAAGTAAACTGCAACAACATTGAGATGCCTTATCTGAAGCTCTTTATATCCTCTCAAATGCAACAGTAACTTTATCCTAGTTGCAATTGTGGTGTATAAAAACATTGAATAAAAACATGAAGTAGTTTCACCAATGACTACTAGGTAAGCAAACCATGCAAACATTCAAGGAGAGAGAGGGTGAGTGGAAATGGGAAATAAGACGCACAGGTTTCTTTCTGGGGTGATAAACATGGTTTTGTTTCTGGGCAGCACTTGACAGTCCTCAGGGTCCACTCCTGTTTCTGTGCTCAGGAGACCATACAGGTTGCCAAAGTCCAACCTGCACTGGCACATGCAAAGCAATCACCCTATCCATTGTACTATCTCACTAGCCCCTAATCATGTTCTAAAGTAGACTGCAGCGACATCTGCAGAACTCTGAATATACTTATTCACACTGTATGCGTTTTTTTTTTTTTAAATAGGTGGCGGGGAACAGCTGGTTATGCTCAGGGGTCACTTCTGGCTGTGCTTAGAGGACCATATGCAAAGCCAGGGATCAAATTAGAGTTGGTGGCATGCAAGGCAAACGCCACAGCCCTGTACAATCTGTATGCTTTGAAGTAATTCAACTTTAGGGTTGATCCTCGATTTGCTCGAGCGGGCCCAGTAACGTCTCCATTGGAGACTTTGTTGTTACTGTGTCTGGCATATCGAATACTCTCGGTAGCTTGCCGGGCTCTCCGAGAGGGGCGGAGGAATCGAACTCGGGTCGGCCATGTTGGCCGCTTGTAAGGCGAACGCCCTACCCGCTGTGCTATCGCTCCAGCCCAACTTTAGGGTATGTAAAATATATTTCAATATAGCAAAGAGGAATGAAACACCCTTTTGCGGAAGGAAGGAAGGAAGGAAGGAAGGAAGGAAGGAAAGAAGGAAGGAAGGAAGGGAGGGAGGGAGGGAGGGAGGGAAGACAGAATTCTCTTATCCCTACTTTTTTAAGGACTGCCCCAGTGTTAAGGGTAGGGACAGGGGTTCACTTCAGGTACCCCCTCAACTGGGGCAGACCCAATAGCTCAGGGCACCCCAGTGCTTCTGGGGAGTTGCAGTGGAGCGAGACATATGTGGGGCCGGAAATCCAACACCAGAGCCTGCGCTCAAGGCGAATGTCCTAGGCAGCGCTGTGTCTGGCCCTTGTTCTCGTCCTCAAGCCCAAGGCTTCCAACATACAATTAGGGCTTTCTAAAACAGAAACGACTCCCTAATACTCTAGATACGTAACTCTCCAGGCATGTAATTCAAACCAACTATCTTAGTGGATATTTGAGAGAACTAGATTGATAATTTGCATTCTTATTTTTCTATTTACTGGTTAACTGATAAAATCACTAATCCATTCTACAGAGTAAAGGTAAGGTAAAGGTAAAGGCCCTCCCGTTGATCGTCGATTTGCTCGAGCGGGCCCAGTAACGTCTCCATTGGAGACTTTGTTGTTACTGTGTCTGGCATATCGAATACTCTCGGTAGCTTGCCGGGCTCTCCGAGAGGGGCGGAGGAATCGAACTCGGGTCGGCCATGTTGGCCGCTTGTAAGGCGAACGCCCTACCCGCTGTGCTATTCTACAGAGGGATACTGAAAAGCATATGACATGCTTTCAAGCATTAAACTGCCTGTAAAAGAGTTCTGCAAATTAATAATCTTCTAGACTAGAAATTTTATAGTTTATGGACACATTCCTAATTTTTTTCATTTTATCTAGTCTAGTTCTCTCTGTAAAAACATGGGTACACAGCAGCCAAAGTAGAGTTCTCCTAGTATCAGGAACATGGTCAAATTATGAGATATTATCAAGGAGTTCAGAATTTTCAAACAGTATTAAGTTACAGAAATAGCCTTTACAACTCTATAAAGCCTTTTTATGGGGCTTAATATTCTTAATTTAAAAATATTTTAAATTAAATGAAAGTAAGTATTTATGTAATTAAAATATGTATTTATGGGGCTGGAGCGATAGCACAGCGGGTAGGGCGTTTGCCTTGCACGCAGCCAACATGGCCGACACAGGTTCGAGTTCCAGCATCCCATATGGTCCCCCGAGCACCGCCAGGAGCAATTCCTGAGTGCATGGGCCAGGAGTAACCCCTGAGCATCGCCGGGTGTGACCCAAAAAGCAAAAAAATAAAAATAAAAATAAAAAAAATATGTATTTATACTTTAACAAAAATTTAAAACAGTAAGCCCCAGTCATATAAAGTCAAGATATCATCACTAAACTTGGTTCTCATAGTAACTGTAACTCATACAGTAACATTAGATGACTCATAATAACCTTCAAAGACTTAAGACATTTAAAAATAAAATGCTTTGAATTCAAATGAATTCATGGCGTTCCATAATGCATTGAAAGATACTTTTCTTCAGGAAAATATTCCAGGTGAAAGGGATTGCATGCCTTCACATTCCACCTCCTTCTCCTGTTCCTGTCTTTCTTCCCCAAATGCTTGATCCCTAGCCCTTCTGATCTCTTCCTTTCTCATCCCCCTTCTTTCCACACCGGCTTGGTGATCCTTTCTAGACAGACTGGCAGAGATTCCACCTGAGTCCTGGACTTCTGCTCTGGATCTCAGCTCGCACCTTGAGTGTGTGTCTAAGCCTGGTTTCCCAAGTGGACACTATCACCCAGGATTAGAAGCCACCTTGGGTTCAAATGAAATGAGAGGTATATATACACACTGTCTCTTAAGGTTGATCTCCATAAAGGGCACCAAGAAATTTGCTTTTCTGATAAGAGGTAGCAGGACATTTAAGTCTAGGGACTTCTAATCTAACCCAAGTTTCACCTGTTGGCAAGTCTGAGAAAGGGAGGAATTGACACCCCATAATTTATAAATATTGATGAGAACTGTTATTACACACGGAACATTTGAAAATTCAAGGATCTGTATCCTGTCCAGAGCTGGTACCAGTACACAAAACTTTTAAAATTTCCAAACAGCTGTGCCCTGTGCACTTAAATATCCCACAAAGGTGCTGTTCCCGAGTCTTGCTGAGAAACAGCTATGCACTCGGAACAATTCAAACACGAACCTGGATGGGCGGAATATCTGGCAGAGACGGGAGGTTTTCCGGGTTGGTGACGGAGGGGATGAGCTCTATTGCTGTAACAGACGGGCTGGTGGGCCCTCGGTTGGCGTTTGCCATCGTGGCTGTGGTGGGGCTGGTCGGGTTGATGGTGGTGTTGTGCACTGACACCACAGGGAAGGGGCCGGCATGGCCTGGGTTCGAGTGCTGGAAGGACAGAAGATGGCGTTACCAGATCTGGCGGCAGAGAAGCAGCAGGCCTTCTTAGACGCAGACAGGAAAAGAGGCAGCCAAACGGAACCTAGTCGTTTTGGGGTAGTATTCATGGAAAAATGATCTTGCCCGTGATTTCTAGTCTGCCAATGTGGTGGCTAACCTCTTATTTCAGTACAAGACATATTTAAACAGATGCTCTAAGCTTCAAACGTTAGCCCAGAAAAGCCACCCTCTGCATATATTCCTCTTTGTTTTTTCTGTCATTCTAAAATTAAAGTTTAAATGATACACTGGTTTTTGGGCCACACCCAACAATGCTCTGCAATCTAGAATTATTCCTGGAGGTGCTTGGGGACCACATGGGATGTCAGTGATCAAAATCAGGTCGGCTACATGCAAGGCAAATGCCTTACTTGCTATACTATCACTCCAGCCCACAAATTTACATTTATAAAAGAGGTAAGGCATGGGATATGCAATATAAAGCATGGTGACTACACTAATAAAATTTGACTGCACATCAAAAAGTTGCCAAGTCCTCATCAAAACAAGAACAAGAACAACAACAATAACAAACCCCAAAGATGTTTTTGGAACTGGGTGGAGGAATGGATGGACACTCACTAGACTCACTCGTGGTGGCCATTCTGCTATATACAAACACTGGACCATTATACTGCACACTTAATCCTATTATAATCATGTCAAATATGCCGCAATAAAAATGTCAGTTCTAGGGCTTAGGTGCAACCACAACAGGTAGGGTGTGGCTGCCGTGGGTTCCATCCCCAGCACCCAAATGGTCCCCACACACAGCCAGAAGCGATTCCTGGTTGCAAAGCCAGGAGTAAGTCTGAACAACACTGGGTATGACCCAAAACCAAAACATAAAAAATTAAAATAAATAAAACTTAAAAAAAGTCATGTAACTGTGTGATTTAGTTCAAAGGGGGGGGGAAGGGCAATGAACTTACAAATGGAACCAATGACACTGAATAATTACTGACTCTATACTGTGTCACATTAGGCAAAACAATGCCTGTGACTTAGAAATGTAACACTTCATCCTCACTATGACTGTTGTGTCTCAACATTAAGACAACAAAGATGAGAACCTTTGGACATTACTATAACGTATAAAAATCATACAAATTGAATTTGCTAATATTCAGCAATATATGCAGAAGCCTAATGTCAATATTCCTAGATAATTGGTTAGTTCTGATTCTGTTTCTGCACGTTCCCAGACACGTACCTCTTTTATTTTTTTAAATTTTTATTTATTTAGTTGTTTTGGAGCCTTACCCACGAAAGCTCAGAGCTTATTCCCTCTGCACTCAGGAATCACTCCTGGTGGTGGTCAGGGGACCACATGGTGTGCCAGGGATTGAACCCAGATCAACCGCAAGCAAGACAACGTGGTTTTAGTGCTTTGGCCTGAAGGTGCACTTTTTTTATAAACAAAAACCCACATCCTGAACAGCGTACAGTGTTCTGCAGGTGATTTTCTATGAGTACTTTATCAACTGCCCGTTCCCCTGGAAGAAACAGCAACACACTTCTGACCCATTCCTGGTCAGATTCTAATACGAATGAAAATAAGCATTTAAAATAAGCAAAGGAGATGCAGCTGCAAATAAAGATGAAAAATTAAAGAAAAAATGGCTCTAAAAGCTAGGTAGCGTCTTTGAATAGATTTTGATATTTGATGATCATAAAAGTGAACAAATCAGGATATATGGTTCATTTCAAGTTCAGCTTATAACCTAGAAAATTTTCAAAGAACTGAAAACAATTATTTTACTTCTAATACTTAATTTACACATTCATAAATCAAATTTTCCAATGATCACAAAGTAAAAAGCAAAACCAAACATCACATAATTGATATATCAAGGGTCCAGGAGAAACAGTAAATCAGGCAGAGTGCTTGCCTGAAACTCAATCAAAAATATCTATGTAAAGAAAAGGAAAACAGTGCCTGCTATAGAGGTAGGCCAAGGGAGGGAGGGAAACTGGGGACATTGATGAAGGGAACTAGATACTGGTGAATGATTTTGTGTTGGAATGTTGTATACCTGAAACCAGATAATAAATAACTTTGTAGCTCCATAATTCACAATAAAAGAAAAGTATTTTAAATATGTAAAAAAATAAAAACTTTGTAACTCTGTAATACACAGTAATTCAATTAAAAAGAATCAACCTAACGATTACAAAATGAACTTCAGTACATTAGAAGTAGAATCTTACCTAAAAAATAGGCTCGTGTTATATTTAAATCTTCTTTTTTCGTTCTATTTTTGGGGGTTGGGGTGAACCAACCTAGAGGTGGTCCTCAGGGGTTATCCTGGCTCTGCACTCAAGAATTACTCCTGGTGGGGCTGAAGTGATAGCACAGCGGGTAAGGCGTTTGCCTTGCACGTGGCCAACCCGGGTTCGATTCCCAGCATCCCATATGGTCCCCTGAGCACCGCCAGGAGTGATTCCTGAGTCAAAGCCAGGAGTAACCCCTGTGCATTGCCAGGTGTGACCCAAAAAGCCAAAAAAAAAAAAAAAAAGCCAAAGAAATTACTCCTGGTGGTGCTTGGGATTAAACCTGGATTAGCTGCATTATGAAAGGCAAGAGCCTTAGCCATTGTAATATTGCCTCAACCCCTATATTTATATGTTCTCTATAAAAATAATATATTCAAAGATCAGGCAACATGCCTGAGGGGCTAAGTTGACAGTGCAGCAGACAAGGCGCTTGCTGTACACGACTGACGGGCCAATCCCCGGAATTCTACATGATCCTAAGCACAGCAAGGAGGAAGCCTTTAGCACAGTAAAGTATGGCCCCGAAACAAAAACACAAAAAATTTCTTGCAAGCCAATTGTAAACAAACAGAATCTATTTTAAACAGAGAAAACATGAGGGGCTGGAGTGATAGTACAGTAGTACAGCAGGGAGGGTATTTGCCTTGCACACTGCTGACTCGGGTTTGATCCCCAGCATTCCATGTGGTTCCCAGAGTACCACTAGGAGTAATTCCTGCATGCGGAGCCAGAAGTAACCCCTGAACACACTGGGTGAGGTTCAAAAATCAAAAAAAAAAAAAAAAACAAAAAAAAAAAAAAAAAAAAAAAACAAAATAAGAGAAAACATGAATCATGTCATTAGTTACTCTTATTTTTAAGAATAGGCATAAGTATATAACATAACCCTATGTGCCCCTAATTAGACTCAAAATCTAGCACTAAAGAGCAGAAGCAATTCCAGGAAACTAATCTTGATATTTCCTTTAATTCATGATACTGGGTCAGTAATATGCACCTTTGTCTTCCACTTTTGCAAAAGGAATTGATTGGATTAGATTCAGAAGTTCTCTATCAGCATATATATGGGTTTAATCAGAACAAAGTTCTTTAAAAATGGAATATAAATTGTATGTGTATATGTACTTGAGGCACAAGACATTAATAAAGTCTGAGTAGCAGTGAACCTGAGAGCCACCCCTCACCAATCAAAACACACACACACACACACACGCACGCACGTGTGCACCAGTAACAAAAGATGATGTCTTTTGAGTTTGAAAATTTCATGATTCTTACAAATGTAACTCTAGGCATACTTGTCTTTGGAGGTGCGGCTGCATCAAGGAGTACTGTGGGCCGCTGTGCCTGGGGATTCCCGGGATGCGGGCGGCGTTCTGCGCCAACCTCATCTGATGCGCCTGGAAGGCTCCGCAGTTCATGTTCCCTCTCTGCATTGTCTGCACACTTATCAATCTTGGAGGCTACAAAAGAGAAAACGCACTTAGGCACTGATTATCTTACAAAGAGGGAGGGAGGGGAAATGTTCTTAAGTAGGAAGGTGAGGGGGTGAAAGACAGAGACACAGCGAGACCCCAAGATTCTAGGTCACCCACACAGGCCTGACGGTCTAGTGCTCAGGTCTAGCTATGGAGCAATAATGGCAACAAAAGCAATAAGGCATTGCTGGGGGGGTGGGGGGTATTAGTAACACAGCTGATAGGGCCCAGGGGCCAGGGGCCAGAGTCCATGGAGATCAAACTCTGGTCATCTGCACTATCCCTCCGACCCATCCCCCAGTTCTGAAACAGTATTTTAAAAATAAATTTATCTTTCAATTATAATGCCATGGCAAAAATAAAAAAATTGTCAGGACAGAGTGGCAAAGATTCTTTTCATCTAAGTATATTCATATTTATTTGAAGCCTATCAATATGTTCTTATCCAACACTGGGTTGATATTTTGGTTTGGTTAGAGCAGAGGAGAGCAGGAGAGATGCAGGGATGGGAGTGATTTATAAGTCCCCACATCTTAAACTATGGGCCCCAACCTTATATGGAGTATCAGGGAATTAGTTTTAAAATAAATTTATTATTTATTGTTAAGTAAACATCTGATTTGAACACCAATAGCACAGCGGTAGGGCGTTCGCCTTACAAGCGGCCAACATGGCCGACCCGAGTTCGATTCCTCCGCCCCTCTCGGAGAGCCCGGCAAGCTACTGAGAGTATTCGATATGCCAGACACAGTAACAACAAAGTCTCCAATGGAGACGTTACTGGGCCCGCTCGAGCAAATCGACGATCAACGGGAGGGCCTTTACCTTTATAAAACTAAAATTGCATAAAAATTTCTCAGGTCAAATGTAGTCAAGTGATGAGCCAAAAAGGTAGTACAGCAGGTAAGGTGCTTGCCTGGCCCACGGCTGACCACAGCTCGATACCCTGTACCCCATATGGTCCTCCAAGTCTACAGGAGTGATGCCTGAGTGCAGAGCCAAGAGTAAGCCCTGAGCACTGATATAGCCCAAAAATAGATAAAATAAAAAGTAATCAAGTGAACTTTCAGAAACCCTAATCTGAAGAATTTGATAAATTTTAGGATGAAAAAACCTGATGCTTTGGTCCAAAAGAACCATGTGACTAACAAAACAGAGTTGATACATAAGCAGACTGGAGAGACAGGACACTGGGTAAGCACTTGCCTCACCCGTGGCAGCACCAGTGACTCAAATCAAGCACCACTGTGTTGCACCCCCCCCCCCCCAAAAAGCATAACATTAACAATTTGAAGAACTGATAGAGTAGAAAGTTACATACTGACAAAGTTCTAGTGAGCTCATCTTGTTTAGCATGGTACTTATTGCCCTGACCTCTCCCATTCCGGGAGCAAACATTTATATAGCATTCTTTCGCTGCCCATCTGACCAGAGCTGGTGGTCAGCAGGTGGAGCTGGTTGAAAGTCACTGTCTACTGCCATGGTTTTACCAACAAGTCTGGACACGAGCCAGCCCACAGCCATCAGCTCTGCCTGGGTCACGCCTGAACTCTGGAGTCGTTCCAGGCATTGCTGGTGGTCACGGCAGGCGAGCAGTATGCAAGACCCACAGTACTCACCCACAGTGTTCTTGCTCCAACCCAAGACCACTGTTCAGACTCACCTCTAGAAAGAGGCTGAGGTTTTCTGAGGCCAGCACTCACCTGCTGCTGTAACATCTGGGGTGCTGCTTGCCGAGGGTGCTGCTGGGTGGTGGTGGTAGTGGTGGGCACAGATGCAGGGGGCTGCTGCATCCTCATTTGCTGCAGCTGCTGATGCTTCTGTGCATACACTTGCTGTTGCATGTGCTGGAGTCGAAGCTGGGCTAAGTTAATCTGCCCAGGGGTCTTAGTAATATGGTTTGTCCCCGGCGGAACTTGCCCAACTACAACATTTGGAGTATAGCCAGGAGCTGGTTTACTCTCTATTACTAAATTACCTGAAAGATTCAAGACATAAAAATAATTTACATACAAATAACAAAATCAACTAGTTTATGGAATATTCACTATTTTCCTCCCCAAAACTACCAGCAGTAATATCTTCCAACAGTACAGTCGGGATGTGAACTAAAGTTTTCAATATGACAAGTAACAGAAACTTAATACAGTCCCATAACAAATAGCTAAGCTTTGATTGTCACTGTCGCTGTCCTCCCGTTGTTCATCAATTTGCTCAAGCGGGCCCAGTAATGTCTCCATTGTGACAATTGTTACTGTGTTTGGCATATCGAATACATCACGGGGAGCTTGCCAGGCTTTGCCGTGCGGGCGAGATACTTTCGGCAGCTTGCCGGGCTCTCCGAGAGGGGCGGAGGAATCGAACCCGCTCAGCCGGGCTGGCTGCGTGCAAGGCAAACGCCCTACAGCTGTGCTATACTGACTTTAATATTACCTGTACCTATTCTTTACTGTACAGAAAATTAAAGAAAAACAGAGCCTAAGAGATACTAGAGGCAGTCCATTTAGTCAGTCCAAACTGATTCTCCTCTAACAAAATTCAAGGATACTCAAGATTGCTAATGTGCCTTGAAATTGCCAAATGTATATGGCAGAGTACTGCACTGCCACAACACTTTCTTTTTCTGAAAATGTTGAATGTTTTAAGGGCCTCAATTCTTAGAAGTAGCAGTTTTCTTTAATGCTCAGAGAAAACGGCTTTCTAAAACAAGAGGCAAATTTCAGGAAGGCTGAGGTAAAACTGAATTGGTAAATCATATCTACAACAGGACAGAAGGTTAAGTATTTACTGTGCAGACCACAAAAGATCTGAAATTTCTTTATTCTTTGCTTTTTTGTTTTACAAGCCTACAAAATATAAAAGCTACACTTCAGGCATACAAAAAGTTTCCAGATGGTGTTCTAAAGCTATAGGCAAATCTGAATTTTCAGTCGGTTTTGTTTTGTTTTAGAAAACAAAATACAAAGACAGTTCTGCTTTAGAATTTCCAATGCTGAGAACCTGACTACTCTGAAAGTAAGTTTACTCAAGCTGTATACAGTTTCAGTTTGTAGGGAAGCTTTTGTTTTGTCTTAAATGGTTCCATTTGCCTCTCCATAACTTATACCTCTGGTCCTTAGGTCCACACTGTGAAGTAACAAAAGCAATGTCCATTTCTTTCCATTTGAAGAGTAGGAGTTCAAATATTTCTCTGAACCTGACTTTCAGATCCATCAGCATCTTTTTTTCCCCCCTTTAAATTTTTATTAGTGAAATACCATGATGTACAGTTGTAGACTTACAAATTTTTGTGCTTGGGTTTCAGTTATACAATGATTGAATACCCATCCCTCCACCAGTGCCCATTCTCCACCACCACCAGTCCCAGTATCCCTCCCACCCCCCTTGCCCCCATCCCCCATCCCACCCTACCACTGTGGCAGGGCATTCCCTTTTGTTATCTCTCTCCTTTTGAGTGCTGTGGTTTGCAAAAGAGATACTGAGTGGCAATCTGGTTCAGACTATAGTCTACTCTCATCACACATTTCCCATCCTGAGAGGAAGCTCCTAACACCCTTTATTTGGCGCTCCCTTCTCTATCTGAGCTGCCTTTTCCCCTAGCGTGTGCGGTTGTCCTCAAAGCCATGGAGTAATCCGCCTGGTACTTATCTCGGCTATCCATCAGCATCTTGAAGGGGGTCCTCTAGAGGACAATGTGGTACAATATACAAACTGCTAAATGGCTAGGAAATTCTCTGAGAGAATAAAGTTTTACTTGCTTATGATATACATTAAATAAAACTATACAAGATATTCAACATTCTTAAAAATACAATAAATATAGCTTTGATGAGTTTTTACTGAAGACAGAAGTTTATGTAAAACTTAGAGAACCTAAGCTTCTGAAGTTTGCTTTAGAATTTTTCTTATAACTATTTCAAGCTGTACTCATAAAACTCAACATTTCTCACCTAAGTTGACTACATTCTTTGCCCAGAAGGTGGGGTCACAATGGAAACGTATGGCTCCATTAGCAGCAGGGACAGGGTCACACCGTGCTTTCAGAATGTGGCGCAGCTGAAAAGTAATCTTAAAGGGAAAAGTAAGGTCTCATTAGTCTTAAAATTCAGCATCACTTGAGAAAACATACAAGGTAAAGATATAAAACCTCATGTAGCCCCAGTGTCTGAGGAAACAGAAGTGATTGAAAACTTAGTTAAATTAAATGACCTGCTTGCATTCTGTCACAGTGATAAGCACCATGATTACATTTATATGATATTCTACAAAAAGACAGAAATCAGACCAATTATTGAAAGTCCAGGTTGGGGAGGCAAGAAAATTTTTATGAATGGAAGAAATTTTTTATAACTTGGTGTGCTGCCAATTAGTCACCAAATTCAAAATCCCCTTGGTGAATGCAGACGATGCATGAGCAAGCACATGCTGGAGGCTCACCAGCCGCTTGCTGTACAGGAGCGCTGTGCTGCTGCCACTGGCGATGGCCCAGTTGGTGAAGTTCATGACATGTTTCACCTGCCGGGAAAGCCCGGTGATGTCACTCTGCTGCTGCAGCAGCTTCATCTGTCGCTCTTTCGTCACGTTCTGAAAAACAGCAGGAGGGTCACTGGAGAGTTCTCTATATAAAGGATAATAACAAACTTATCATCTCCAACACATTTATTCAACATTTTACAAAACAGATGCCCATATTCTTCTAAGAAGTGGTAAGTCGACCAGCTTGTGGCTATTTAATGAGTCTATGATCAAAGGAGAGCTTGGTGACAAAGGTGAAACCATTCTCTAGCTTGAAGAAGCCATTACACATAAAGAAATTAGTGTTAGTTGGTGTCTCTCTCTTCTATCATTTAAAGAAAAAACAAAAACTTTAAGCTTAAGATCTTTTCATTAATTAGAGAGGTACAGAGATAGTACAGCTGGTAGGGCATTTGCCTTGCACACAGTCAACCTAGTTTCAATCCCCTGTGCACCGCCAGGAGTGATTCCTAAGTGCAGAGGCAGGAGTAGGCCCTGAGCATCACCAGGTGTGACTCAAAAAGCAAAGGAAAAGAAAAAACCAACTTTTTCTAATACAGAAGCTATGTTGCATAGTTACCTAACTTTCAGAAACCTTTGGAGTAACCTTGCTCTCACTACAGTTTCCCAGGAAGTTTTGTGCTAGCAGTGCCACCTATTGGTGTGGCATGAAGTTAAACATCTCATCTTTATTCCACTACAGTCAGAAAAATTAACTACAGGGCTCTCAGAGTGGGGTGAGGAAACTATGATGTGATACAAATTCGTAATGAACAAGTAAATAAACAAGGGCCAGAGGCAAGACCAATTTGGGAGGAAATCCTGCAGCAGGAAAATAAGCTGCTCTCTGGAGATGACTTCCAGGGCAGATGCATGAACTCTGACACTCAACATGTGACTTGGCCAATTTCTTACAAACTAACTCAACTTGATTTTTCCCGAATGAAACAAGTTGCTTATGCATTAACGGTAATGTATAAAAAGTATTCAACTGACCTGTCAGTTGATTTACATATTTGAATTTATGATGTTCCCGGAAATTATCCGTCTTATTAAAAAGCATAAAAAAGGTTCTATTTTATAATATAAAAACAGATTACATAGGAAAAAATTTAAATTATCAGCATGCTAGAAGCATGAGGCTAACTAACCACTACATATTTATACTGTTAAGGGGCATCTTTTAATTCAAAAATACTTGGAAAGATTTAAGAATATCAAATAGGTCAGTCTGTGGTTATAGCACCAAGAACTAGAGACCATGGCTAGCATGTGGAAGCCCAGGTTCTACCCCAGCACCACCTGCTGGCTAAACTACATGTTCCCTCAATTTCCCCGGGAAGTGTGACCCCAGCACCACTGAGTGTGGCTCAAAAACCCTAAGAAACAAAAAAGAACATTAGTTTAAATGTATTTATAGTACAAGAGAGTTGCTGCTAAATGTTTCATCTACACCCCTTTTTGAAGACAAAAATCTACTACAATTAAATACAGCTGCCTGGGTGTACAACAGGAAAGAGATTCCAACTTCAACAATATATACAAGTACTTTTAATAGCATAATTGTGTCTCAAAAAAAAAAAGTCAATATTTTCCAAATTTTATTTAGATGTAATCATATTGAATGTTTCTAAAACATTTTTCCCCCCCGCTTTTTAGGTCACACCGGCGATGCAGAGGAGGTACACCTGGCTCTGCACTCAGGAGTTATTCCTGGCGGTGCTCAGGGGACCACATGGGATGCTGGGAATCGAATCTGGGTTGGCCGTGTGCAAGGCAAACGCCCTACCGCTGTGCTATCTCTCCAGCCTCTCTAAAACATTTTAGGAAGTAAAGGAAGAGGGGAAAAACCTGGAGATGAGAATTACGTACAGTAATAAAATGTAAAATAATTTACATAGTTTGAACTGTTTCTATTCATTGTTATGGAATATTTAACCCCATGTCATAGGGCCTACTTCAGAATATAATAATCCTTCAATTAAAACTTATTCACAAGTTGACTGCATTCCCATCCAGAAATTTACACTTAAGTATTAACCTCTAAATCGGAAAGACCTAATATAATCAAATTATCATAAATTTAAAGTTTAAAATTTGAAAATGAGCATGATTTTTATTAGCAAATTAGTGGAATATTTTAGGAATAAAGTGAGACACAAATGATTCCAGCAGAGTCCCAATAGACTTTCATTTGTAGAAGTTAAATTAAGTTCCTATCTTGGAGCTTTGTTGTCTAACATCACAGTTAACCAAGAATTTTCATTCCTAAGGACACTATCTTAATTTATACAGCTAAAATCAGTATTAAGTAGGCCTGAAAAATAACTTTTAAAAAAGCTTTAGTATCTAAAATTTTAAAAATTGTAATTGCCTTTAATTCCACCCCCCACCCTCAAACCAATCTAAAAATAGTTTCATAAACATTAAAAATAGCTAAAGAGCAAGAGAAGCAGTTTTGGTTTTATTTTGGTTTTGAACCATACCTCTAGCTGCTGTAAGAGAGATTTTCCTTTCTTATTAATTTCATTGATAAGGGTGAAAATGGCCACTTTAATTTCCTGTTCTACTCGTTTGTTAGTCTCATTTACTTCTTTTATCCTGAATAAGAGAAATGCATCATTAGGTTATCAACTTATCCTATGTCTCAGAACCATTAACTGTAGCAGAAATTCATTCAAGTGGGAACTTAACCATAATTAAAATTAAATTAAAATTAAACCTATCAAAACATACACCTGTGTTTCAGTGGACTTGACCATTCACTGTGGCCCAAACAAGAATGTATGCAAAGAATGAACTACGTATTAAATAATTTAAAATAATGATCATAGGCCATTTAAGCACATTATGGCCATGATCCAGGGACTCAGAAATGAATCTCGGAACAGAGCAGCTCACAACAGAGCTGTCTACAGACTGTGTACCAAGCTGACTTCACTGGGGCACCTCAGAGGGGCGCAGGCATTGTCCCTTGCTGCTCCAAATGAACCCCGGGTGGCCAAACCTCCCAATTGCCGCCACCTTCACTGCTGACCTTCACAGGATGTCTGGAGCCCTCATGCAAGAGAATGAATCCACTGAAAACCCCAGCTCTGCAGGACCATGACTGAAAACACCAGGCCATAAGGAGCAGGAGCTGCCCATAACTTCCCATCTCCCTGCCCTTCCAGGGTCCTGGCTGTCATGCCCACCAACTGTCTCCTGCGCCATTTAAGCGCATTAACGACCTTGATCCAGAGACTCACAAATGAATCTCAGAACAGAGCAGCTCTCTGCAGAGATGGCTCCGGACCCCAATTATTTAAGAATTCAAAACATTTTAGAATCCAGGAACACGCAGCCGCTTTCGCTGAGCAACGTCGCAAACTATTTTTTACTTCTTAATTGAATCACTGTGACAAACCCTTATAGACATTTCATACTATTCACAAAAGCAATACAAAATAATAATGGTGTTGGGAAGTGTAATGGTGGTGGGATTGGTGTTGAAATATTGAATAGCACTGTCCTCCCGTTGTTCATCGATTGCTTGAGTGGGCCCAGTAATGTCTCCATTGTGAGACTTGTTGTTACTGTGTTTGGCATATGGAATATATCATGGGTAGCTTGCCAGGCTCTGCCGTGCGAGCGAGATACTCTTGAATATGATCAATTATTATGAACAACTTTGTAAAAACAAAACTTAAAAATTAAAAAAAATTATGATAATAAAGGCTTATTTATTAATCTAGATGGCAATTTCCTTTAGTTCCTATGACATGAACATAATATAGAAATATCTGGCATCACTTACTGCTGATTAATGTCAAATCTGGTATATTAGTCCTATTTAATGTTAATGCTTTTTAAAAATGATGTGCAAAGAATAATTCTGCAACCAATAATCATCTTTTAAAATAGGAATTAAGCTTAAAAGCATTTATTATCACTTATAACAATGACTCAAATGTGGTTATCATATAACCCACTTTCCATAATTGTTCTCAAAATTGTTTCCTATTATGAACAGCTAAGGACATTAAACATTTTCAATTCACTTTAGAAGGAGTAAAAATGTTAAATGCTAAAGAAATAACTGTAAGATCAAGGGGCATTGAAAGCTTAGGTTATAAATATGTAATAGTTAATACCCTGCTACTTGCAAAACAGGAAGAGCATTTAAATAAAATGATGACAACCAGGGACAGAGCCATAGTACAACCAGTAGGGCGCCTGCCTTGCGGCCAGCCCGGGTTCAGTTCCCAGCACCCCAGATGGTCCCTCTAAGCAAGGAGCCAAGAAAAAGTCCTAGGTACATTCAGATGTGGCTCCCACCAAAAGAGTAGAGAGCCATTTCAACTGTTATATATTCTACTTCTGTATAAACTATAGCCAATACTCTCAACCCTTAAATTGATTTCGTTTTCTATATCTTAATGAATAATTCTAACACACAAGTTATAATAAGTTTTCCTTTCCTTTTTGTAATTCAATGTTGAAGTTCTTCCTTGAAAATTTTGGTCAGTACTGTCCTAATTAAAGTGAGTATAATTTTTTTTTTCAATAACAGAGCTGATTTCAGGTACTAAAAAGTTTAGGACTCAAATTTAAAGTGTTTAGATCAAGACTGAAATCATAAAGCTTGCTGAAAGCAGACAACAACTAAAGCTCAACTCTCAGTGGATTTTACCAAGCCTTTGTATGTTTAGCTGTAAGGAATTTTTTAATGTATGCTTCAAAATTGGGATAGAGATCTAAGGAATGTCTGTGAAAGGGAAAGCATCATAAATCATTCTCTCTCAAACCTCTATAATTTTGTAACGAATAAAACTCTTGCTCTATATCTTTACACAAATTTAGGAACATTATGTGTAAAATATATATAAAACATGCAAAAACAGGAGACAGTCAAAATGAATCAACTCACTATCACTTCTCTGAAAGGGAATCCATTTGTAATGCACAAAATGCTACAGTTATCCACTCTACCATGGCCCATACATAATAGCAACATAAATTAAAACAACCAGGCATTTCTACAGAACCATCCATAGCATCATGCATGCATGTGTGCACATGCACATACAAATTTCCATGTTTTATGATCCACTGCCTTTAAGAAGCTTGCATTTTCCTATAGTAGCTCTTAAGATGTTAAGTTTTACATCTTGTTGTCTGAATAACACAACTATTTTCATTTCATTCATAAATTCATTTTCTTTTTCTTCTCAAATGAGTTCCAGTAGGTAATAAATAAATGCATCTTGACAATATCTAAAAGTACCAATATTTGTGAATCTAGTGAATAACATGTACAAATTTCCATCATGCCAGCCACTCAGCACTGAAACACATGCCTCTTATATATGAGGCTTAGGTCTGATCCCCAAAACACACTTTCTCCCACAATCCTCCACTCAAATTATAATAGCTCCAAGTTGTTTCAATGTGAGAGTTCCCGTATATTAAGTTATTTATAAAACACACTTTCACATATAAATTCAATAAATGTATATTACTCAAAAATATAAACCAATTTTTAAGAAGTTTTTGAAGTTTACTTTTTAAAGGCAACAATTTAAAATTTGAGAATTTACTAACAGAAAATTTTTTGTATATTTCCATAATTAAGAGTATTAAATGTTCTTAATGCTATTTAAAAGCTGATGAAGTATTTCACCAAGCTCTCTCCTCTATACAGTGTCTTCCATGAAGTCTCTGAACCTAAATTTTTTAATTCAACCCTCTTTACATTGCATTCTATACATTTAACTAAGACTTTATTAATACTAGAGCCTATAAATTTTAAAATAGTGAAAGATGTATATTTCAGGATAGTCAGAATTGTGGTCAATTAAATCTACCTAATTAAATAATAAAATCCAAACTCAGATTATACTACCTTCTAAATGGTTTCTGTTTGCTTAATATAGAAGGAAAACAAACTTTATCTGTGTGTTTAATCTTTATGGAGAAATTATGGCTTTCAGGCAACATACTTACCTATTCTGCACCTGAGTAGCAGCAAAATGAACATAATTCTTCTTCTCAAGAAGTTTAGCTAGTAGATTCTCAATTGCACCTTTCTGATTTTGAAAAGCTTCTTCCAAAAACTGGTACCTTCAAATAAAACAGAAAACTGAATTTAAAACAAAAAAATCACTAATACGATTTTGGAAATGAAGAACCAAATCATGAGTCAATTTAAACCCATCTTAAGTAATTAATATTTTGTGCTTATGCTATTCACTCATGCTTTACCTCAATCGCAACTTTTAACTGCCAATCTATCCCACTGATACCAAATTAAGAAACCATTGTAAGAAATGGTTTTTTAAAAAAATTGTCAAAAATTGTTTAAGCACCATACATAAAAGTTCTGATTTAGGATTATACTCTAAATGCTGGGATAACTTGGTTTCATTTTAAATTTTAAAATGACATTTTATAGTCAACTTCCAAAAGAAAACTATCCATAGTTTAGACATCATAAAAATCACTGCTATTACTATAATAAAAAGTTCCTTCGACTTTTATTATACATTTCAAAATGCACGCTGAACAGCTCATAAAACTGAACAGAACCCCAGGGGCTGGGGCGTGCGCCTGTTCTGGAGAGCACTGCCTGAGGAGCATTGCAGCAGGGCCTCTGCACATAACCAGCACAGACGGCAGCACAGAAGAGGCACAAGCACTCAGCATTCCTGGGAGTCAAACTCTTCCCCCGTGGCATGAGGAACCGAAGTGATAATTCACCTTCCAAAAAAAGACTTACAGATGCTCCAGAGAAATATGAAGATACTCATCATGTATCATTAAGAAAATGCAACTAAAAACGACAAGTTAGAATAAACCTCATAGGAGTTACCAGGGGCCAGAGTGATGGTACAGCAGGTGAGGTGCTTGCTACAAGCAACTGGGTTACACCCCTGGCACCACACCACACAAGGTCTCTGAGTCCCACTAGAAGTGAACCTGAGAGCACAGAGCCAGAAGAAAGCCCTGAGCACTGACAGTGCGGGCCCTTACAGTTATAAATTCAAAAATGGAATGGGATACTAGGGCTAGAGCTATAGCACAGCAGGTAGGGCGTTTGCCTTGCAAGTGGACGACCTGGGTTCGATTATTCCCAGCATATCATATGGTCCCCCAAGCACTGTCAGGAGTAATTCCTGAGTGTAGAGCCAGGAGTGACCCCTGTACATCGACGGGTGTGACCCAAAAAGAAAAAAAAGAATAGGATATTAGCTAGACAGGGCAGGAACAATAGCTTGGAGGGCACTTGCCTTACACAGAGCTAACCTGAGCTCATTCCCAGCACTGCTGATGGTTCCCTGATCCCTGCCAGGAGTCACCGACCCCTGAGTGAAGAGCCAGGAGTAAGCCGTGAGCACTGCCAAGTATGGCCCAGAAGTAAAACAAAAATTAAATTGATCCTTTCAACATGATTTACCTTGTATAGCACCTCAAAATACATGTTTTAGAACCGTATTTCTAAAAAAAATCTTGGGGCTGGAGTGATAGGGCAGCTGGGCATTTGCCTTGCCATGTGGCTGAATAGGTTTGATTCCCAGCATTTCATATGGTGCCTCAAGCACTGGAGGAATGACCAGTAGCAACCCTTGTACACCACCAGGTGTGACCTAAAAAGTCAAAAAATAAAAGTTTAAAGAAAAATATTTTTAATTAAAAAGTCATTACAACTAAGCTCAAAAGAACATAGTGCTGCTAAATCTTCCAGCTTGGCAAGTTCTGGCTGAAAACTCTCTGGCCTTCTCAGGATTAGGGGGGTGGGGGGGTGGATGGGCAGATACCCCCTTCTGCCTGAAGGCACAGCTGCCTGACACACTGCAGTGTCAATAAAGAAACAGGCCAGCTCCATAACGAAACCTCAAAGAACTTCCAAGCGACCAAACCATTTCAGCTTCCTAGATCCTGAACTACACAACCACAAAACCTCCAAATTCCATTGTCCTATCAGTCAGTAGGATCACAGCACGTCAGGTGTGAAAGCTGCGTGGAGCCCACCGTGCTCAGGGAGCGGAAACAGCAACACAGCCTCAACTAGCATCAGCCAGCCCAGTCAGCCACGGAGATGAAACAGTGATCACAAATTGTCTTTCACTGATCTAAGACTTGATAATTCCATTTGCCTTTGTGTTGTAACAAGCAATATCATATAAATCTGCTTGTGCCTGCTAGGAAACTGGGGACACTGGTGGTGGGATGGTATTGATGAATGACTGAAATAACTGTATTATGAACTTGGTTAACCAGTTATAACTTAAAACTTTTTAAGTCTTATCACCTTTGTGTTAACAAGAGGCAATTAAGCCCAATATACACGGGGTGAAAATGTGTCCTTCCTTCCTTTATTTGGGTGGTGACATCTGAGGTAAATGTTAATAGATGAATAAAAGCTATCTAGGCAGACAAACTTGAGAAACAGTTCAGTGCTTTCAATGGGGAAAATTAAATCTGAATATACAAAAAAAATCTATAATTCTAACACCATCTGTCATTTCAGAACAAAGGTAAAGTAAGCAAGTTAGAAGAGTAAGGAGACAGCAAGAGGACGCTAAGAGGCTCTATGAATTCTGCTGAAATTTAACTCAGACAATAATGGTGAATCAACAAGGAAGATGGAAAAGTTATCAATAGATTTATCTCCATTCACCTGAGTAAATTCTAACTGGAGGTTATACATTAATACAAAGGGTTTTGGTTAGTAGCTACTTCTAATTCTCTTAGCCAACAGAATAAACTAACATTAAACTTTCTATTTTCACTAATCTAAATTATCATTAACCTAGTCCAGAAGAAAGGGGCCAGGGGCCAGTGAGGGGCACATGCAAGTGAGATGCCAAGTTCCACCCTCCGTCCTGCTTCACAACACTGTGACTCTTGGCAAAACAACCATGTGATCCCCCCACACTGAAGCAATGATAGGAGAATAAATCAGAAATAGGAAGAGGGTCAAAGAAATGGCACAAAGGGTAGGGCTTTTTGCCTTGCAATCGGCCAACCCAGGTTAAATCCCCGGCATCCCATATGGTCTCCCAAGCACCGCCAGGAGTAACTCCTGAGTGCAGAGCAAGGAGTAACCCCTGAGAACTGCAAGTTGTGACCAAAAGAAATGGGAAGAATAAGCAAAAAATAGATTAGATTAGCTGTTTTTTTTTTGGGGGGGGGGGGGTCACACCTGGCAATGCACAGGGGTTACTCCTGGCTCTGCACTCAGGAATTACTCCTGGCGGTGCTCAGGGGACCATATGGAATGCTGGGAATCGAACCTGGGTCAGCCGCATGCAAAGCAAATGCCCTACCCACTATGCTATCTCTCCAGTCACTAGATTAGGCTGTTTCATTTTTTTTTCCCTTTACACATATATATATTTTTTATTAGTGAAACACCATGGGGTACAATTATAGACTTCAGAATATTTGTGCGTGGTTTTTAGTTATACAATGATCAAGTACCCATCCCTCTACCAGCACCCATCCTCCACCACCGCGGGTCCCAGCATCCTTCCCACCCCCCGTCCCCACATCCCACCCTGCCTCTGTTGCAGGGCATTCCCTTTTGTTCTCTCTCTCTCTCTCCTTTTGGATCCTGTGGTTTGCAAGAGAGGCAATGAGTGGCAATCAAGTTTGGTCTATAGTCTACTTTCAGCATGCTTCTCCCATCCTGGGAGGATCCTCCCAACACCCTTTATTTGGTGCACCCTTCTCTATCTGAGCGTCCTTTTCCCCTAGCACGTGTGGCTGGTCTCCAAGTCATGGAGCAAAATTCCTGGTACTAATCTCAGCCACTCCTGGGTGTTAGTCTCCCATTTTGTTACTTTATGTTCCCCAGATGAATGCAATCTTTCTGTGACTATCCCGTTCTTTCTGAGTCATTTCGCTTAACATGATACTTTCCATGTAGTACCACTTGTACGTAAATTTCATGACTTCATCTTTTCTAACAGCTACATAGTACTCCATTGTGTAAATGTACCAGAGTTTCTTTAACCAGTCACCTGTTCTTGGGCACTCAGGTTTTTTCCAGATTCTGGCTATTGTAAAGAGTGCTGCAATGAATAAACAAGTGCAGAAGTCACTTCGACTATACTCTTTTGCCTCTCCGGGATATATTCCCAGGAGTGGTATTGCTGGGTCAAATTGGAGCTCGATTTCTAATTTTTTGAGACTTGTCCATACTGTTTTCCAGAAGGGCTGAACCAGCTGGCATTCCCACCAGCAGTGAAGGAGGGTCCCCTTCTCACCACATCCGCGCCAGCACCGATTCCTTTTGTTCTTTTGGATGTGGGCCAGTCTTTGTGGTGTGAGATGATATCTCATTGTTGTTTTGATCTGCATCTCTCTGATGATTAGTGATGTAGAGCATTTTCTCATATGCCTTTTAGCTATTCGATTTCTTCTCTGAGAAAGTTTCTGTTCATTTCCTCACCCCATTTTTTGATGAGGTTGGGTGTTTTTTTCTTGTGGAGTTCAACTAGTACCTTATATATCCTTGTTATCAACCCCTTGTGGGATGTGTATTTGGCGAATATCCTTTCCCATTCTGTAGACTGTCTTTGTATTTTGGTCACTGTTTCTTTTGACGTGCAGGAGCTTCTTTGCTTAAGATAGTCCCATTTGTCTATTTCTGTTTTCACTTGCTTGGCCAGTGGAGTGACATCTTTGAAGATACCATTAGCTTCAATATCATGGAGGGTTTTGCCAACTTTATGAACTTCAATGAACTTTATGGATTCTGGTCTGATGTTGAGGTCTTTAATCTATTTTGATCTTACTTTTGTGCGTGGCGTTAGGGAGAGTTCTGAGTCCACTTTTTTGCATGTAACTGTCCAGTTTTGCCAGCACAATTAAAGAGGCTTTCCCTGCTCCATTTCACTTTTCTTGCCCCCTTATAGAAGATTGGATGATCACATGCTTGGGCGGAGGTAAGGTAAAGGTAAAGGCCCTCCCGTTGATCGTCGATTTGCTCGAGCGGGCCCAGTAACGTCTTCATTGGAGACTTTGTTGTTACTGTGTCTGGCATATCGAATACTCTCGGTAGCTTGCCGGGCTCTCCGAGAGGGGCGGAGGAATCGAACTCGGGTCGGCCATGTTGG